TCACCTTTACTGGGATATTATTTCAGGATGTCTAAATATGGAGGTATCTCTGCATCAATTACAAGTTTAATGTCTTCCAGCTCTTCTTCACAAACACAAGTCTAGAAACTTCAGCATAATAATTGTCAGAAACTCCAGAAATAAGCAATCAAAAGACACAAGAACCCAAACATCTCCAAAGGAGGGTAATTTTGTCTGATTGCCATCACCTACCACAACTTTGCACCCCAAAGTAGACAAAATTATAAATAACTATTAAAAATTATTAATAACTTATACAAAATTAAAAATTATTCACTGCCAATGTGCAGGCCTGATGGCAACACTGAAAGACTATTTTGAGTGCTATAAAGTATTGTTAGAAATTTAACAAATACTCAACATATCATTTACTTACAGAAATTTACATCATGTGCCATAGCAACAACCAGCTCATAATCTCTCTGTGGATTTCAAAGTCTTACTCCATCACTGCTTTAGAAAATACTGAAAATAATTTTTCTCCATTCTATAAATTGCAACTTGACAGCAAACATACTACACAGCGCTGCCTTCTGAAACCCTGAAGATGGATTTACGTTCACCAGACTTAAAATGACCTTTCTAATGGCCACACATCAGATAGTCACGTAGTGGGGAGCTTTGAATGCCTTTGTGGGGGATCTCATTCTCATGTTGCAGCAGGTACTTAAAAAGTGAGAAACCTTTTTTTCCAAAGGAATTTTGATGTCCCACTCCCTTTGAAGCCTCCCTTCCTATGTATCTTTGAAAATCTGATCTTCAATTTGTTATACATTTTACCTTCCCACTTGATATGAAAATGTCTTCTCTTTTTCCTTTGGAACGCTCAAAAATGATGGCAGCAGAAGCAGCTCCATACTCCTAACATGAATGAAGTGTAGTTGTGTGGAAAACCACAGCTCCTTCTCCCAGTCTTCATCTATTCTCTTCCATTCCCGTTGCATAAAACATCATCATGATGGGCCACTGCCTTCTGCTTCTCACTCCATGTCACCCATCAGAACTGATTTACATTCTTTAGATAAAAGGAAAGATCACTGTAGGCAAAAACTGGAGGCAGTTGTCTGCTATGGAAAACAGCTTTGCTACCCCTTTCAAATTTATTGATCACTTGCAGCCTCCCCCCTCTAAAGTATATCTCCAAAGTGGGCACTGCTGTTCGAATAGCCACTAGCTGTCTGATAAAACTTAACAAATGGCAATTTTATTAGCTTCTGTTATTATTGTTTCTTTAACTCCTTCACTATCAACCCACCATAGCAATCTGCTGACAAAGGAAGATTAGAGATAAGGCACGACCATGAACATTTTGATCCCTACTTCAATTCTTTAAGATTTTTTTTAACAATTTTCTTAAGGAAGTCATACAGGGCCAAATTTTTAATGGTGTCCAGTGTCTGCTGTTCCCTGTGATGGAGGGTATTTTGTGGAAAAACACTTAAATAGATCACAGAAAACTCATATACTGCAGTATTTATAAGATCAGCAGTATCTTGGCATGCCAGAACTGATTTTTCTGAGTGCCTTTAGCCAGACATTTTAGTGTTACTCCTCTGCATTTGATCCTGGGAAATTTCTAACTGGTCAGAGTCTATAATTTCCCTGTTACTTCCCCATCACTGGTTTGAAGACCATACTGCCTGGGTCAGAGAGGAGGAAGAAAAATCCAAACATCAGCAAATAATTACTTCTTATTAGCTATGACTATTTTTTTTAACCAAGATGTTAAAGAAATGCTACTTTTCCCCTCACCTCACATACATCCAGAGCTACGAAGGTTGTCTCATGATCTGCAACAAACTTAAAAATGATAGTGTTTGTTCTAGAGAAATCACTATGTTCCAACAAAATTCCATAGAGGAATTGCTATTTGAGACAAGAAGTAGTAAATCTGACTTGTTTAAAAATGTTTAGATAGAAGGAAATAAATAGCAGTGACCCCAAACCCCCTGAATTTCTTCAGCTGCAGTCCTCAGCCAGCACTACCTGGTCAGTTCTGCAGTACACTAATTTTGCTCTACCAAAGTGAAATTAAGCACACAAAGAGTTATTATATCAAAGCTGCACGCAGATCCTAAACTCAGACTCAATCACACAACTAAATCCCCGTTCAGTGCTTTGAAAATTTACCACTAAGTGTGAAGCTAAAAATATTAGCTAATAACAGTGAGCTATCTTCTAACCACATCCTCTTGTAGAACAACATCAATAAGAGACAAGCCTGAAAGTATGCCTTAGAGGAATTAATGAACTTTTGTTTGAAACAGGGCCATTTCACTTTGGGACAGGTTTTTTCTTCTTCCCCCCCCCACCCTTCCCATCTAGTGAACATATCCTGCACTTCGGGGTATGGAAACCTGCCGAAATCACACCCATAGTCAAATCAAATTTTACATATCTTTACAAGATATTTATAACATGCAAATGCCTAGAGGCCCTGTTTCTCATTCACATGAAGGTCCCTGATGCCAGAAGAGGAGGGCTCTTTCATGTAGTGAGAATGAATGCGTGGCAGATTAGAAGCTGGTGTCACATATTATATGTAACATGTGAAGGTTCAGCAACCCACATCTCCACTCCACGTGCAACAAGCAAGCAAACACTGCAGCATTTTCAGAAAGGTGTTTGGCCAGCCCTTACAACTGCATCCTTACAATCTGTGACTTGTGTCTCTGCAGAATTCTGCTTCAAGAAACAATAATTTTACTTCATCCTTCATAAAAAAAAGTAAGAAAGCCTTGCTTCATTCACTCCATTTTTTTCTTAAGCCTGTTTAGCAGCGCAAGGATTCCAAACAAAACATTTTCTCAAGATAAAACAGATTAACAGTAAAAATTCCACCTTTGGATTCTTAGGCATCTGCTTCGTTCACAAATTTTGTCTCTTGGCACACATCTAATTCAGAAATAAATTATTCAGTTCTGTGTCTTTCACAAACTTTTCCTTATTTGTCACTTAAGAGCAATCAGAGACAGGAATTTTCTATTTAGAAAGTTTAGACCAGAATCGCCAAGCACAAGCTATTTCTTGGGATGCTTTCTGGACAACATCTGAAAACGCATGCTGCGTGCCCACGCCTGCTGCGCCTGCCGCAGCCACCCAAACCTGCGGGGGTCTGTGTGCTAGGGCTGAGCAACCAGTCTGCAGTGCTGAGAAGGGTCATGTCACCTGAGGGAAAATTGCAAACAAAAGAAAACCATTTGGCTTCATCTCAGAAGGTAAACGTGTATTGCAAGTGATAACTTTCTGGGTAGAATTCACCCAAAACGAATAAGCTTGAACTTTAAAATTCTAATGTCAGATAAATAAGTTACCGTGATTTAATTTACTTTATTCGATAAACTCTGATACCTACCTAGGAGGTGGGATATTATTTCCAAAATTATTTGCTACCTGAGGTCAGCGCATGAATAGATACAATGTATAGCTCATTTCCTGACCAAGTAATGTTAAGCACCCCATTTTTCAGAGCGTATGCCTGAACACAACAACTGCTTAGACCAAAAAGTCGAGCCAGATGGTGAGTGTCTTTCAGTGTTTCAAAGAACACTCCTTATTTTTGTGCTACTAAAGAACCTTCACGTTACACAGAAGGTACAAAAGCTGGCAAAGTTTCCAACAAAGGCTTTAGTGAGCAAGAAGAATTTTAATTTGAAAAGGTCAAGCTATTTTATCCTGTAGCAAAACTAGTATAGAGCTGATAATATGATATAAAAATATAATAATACTATTTGGTATTAAAAAGGAATAAGGCTTATCCGTGGACATTAAATATTTTTCTGCCTAAACTATGTTAACATGTTAAGCACTTTATTTATTCTTTAAAAAGCTACTTCTTTTTTTTTTCCCAAATGGCTTAAAATTTGATTGCAGCAATACTTTTACAGCAATAGCAAAAAGTAAATTATACACAACTCTGGCACAAACGCCTGTTAATCTGATAACCCATAAAACCTCCCCACTACAGAGGACTCCAATTAGAATGAATAACAGAGATGTTTGGGGAATTGAGGGGGGACGACATCTGTTTGATTGACATGTGCCCTTCCTGGAAGAATGCAATGCATGGCCATAATCCTAAACAGTCTTACGGCACTACTATGACCCAGTTCTTCAGAAAAAAAGGCATAACTTTGCTACAACAGTTGTTTAACTATACATTTAAATTGAAATGCAGTATTTGAAGCTGTGTGACTGTTTTCCAGTAATGTTCACATATCTAGCCAAATGTAATGGACAATCTTTCCTACTACTGTCACAGAAATGTTACAGGAAAGAGTATTTTTTGATGCTTATTATATAAACCCTTCTGTGTTTCATTATATGTATTATTATATGTATTATATATGTATTATATTACTGGCAAAGCTGTTAGCTTGTTCTGCTGTTAGTATTCTACTGAGAACAAACATAACTTATCAACTGCCTGACTGCTTCTTGAAAAATAGGTATCAGTTTACCCCATTGAATTACTACACCTGTTTGAATTTTGGCCACTCCATCAGAGCAGCAAGCTAGCCTGAGGAAATTTCAACACTCAGTTTTATTAGCCTACTCGACAAAACTTTCATAACCTTAGGAGCTTGCAAAAAGTGAGAACATAATGAAATACTGAAACAGGGAAAAAGAAGGAAAGATTGCCTTTTGTAGTAAGACAATTGTAAATACCTCCTTTTTTCTCATCACTAAGCTACCTTTTGGGGGGTTTGGGATTTTTTTTTAAGCTCTGCACATACTACCTGCTCAGTCCATTCAAACTCCATGAAAGGAACATAAACCTGAAATGAAAGCTATTGCTGAAACTTGATAATAGTAACTACTGATGAACACTGAACATCAGCTCTACACACCAAATTACATAAACACCTAACACCTAAAAAAAGTAAAACATTTTCTCTATATGGCTTACTGACTGCAAGAACACCAATGCAACAAGGAGAAAAAACAAACTATGAAACACTAAAAAAAGGGTGGCTCACCTTCTGTGCCATTGGGTGTCATGGAATTATTATTTATATGAGAGTTATCAAGTTTTGGACCACTGGGTGATTCACTACTACCACTGAGTCGGCTATGTGGGCTGGCTAGATCCTGCATTTCCATAGACCTGAAAACAAGATGCAACTAGTTTTAGTGACATACTCAACATGGATTACAGAGGAATTACCCTATATGAGATGCAGCCCACTATTAAATAACGTCCTGAAAACAGTAAAAAATGAACAGTTTCTTCCAACTTGATCTTTTCTAGTGCTAGACTCATGTTGTAGCCCCACACATGACTGACCAGTTACCGTAATTATTTCTGCAGCTTCTAACAGAACAAAATTTAGATACGAAGTAGTGTATTTTAAAAATTCACATCACCTTGTATTTTTAAGATATGCACAAAAAGGGAATCACCAGTCTGTGAAGACATATACTCTCTTAACAACAAATTAACACTCTGCTTTTTCAAGATTTACCACTCAGTGGCAATGTAATGGGCCTCCAAACCAAATAAAACACTTGAAGCAATTGTGGAAACCTATCATCTACTGACAGGGAATGAGATATTCCTGATGTATGTGTTTACTCTGGCAAACTACTTAATTGTTCCTCTGTTTCCGTTGAAACAAATGCAGCATTAAAACATTATTATGTCTGCTCAGTTGTTTGCTTTGTGGATTACATAAAGCGTGGCCAATTGAAAAGGGATATGACCAACATACGGTGAATCCATATAGGCGTTAGTATGCCTTAGCACGCTGCTGTACCTCAGCAGCTGTCGCTTAGTCAAAATAAGAGAGCAATTCTGATTCAAAGCAAAAATTAAACATTTATACAGTGCATAAGCAGCTGAATATTTCCGATTTGTGTTTTTAATAGCCTTATACAAAAAGGCCAACAGCCATCAGCACCACGACATATCCCTTGGTTGATGTTGGGGAAGCTTATTACTGAGGTGCCCCATCCTTCCGTTTCTTTATACCTAAGACTTTTGATAATGTTATGTGATGTACTCAGTCGAAATAATTGCTCCCAGTAGAAATTTCACAGGTTACTGTCCCTCTAAGGCATTTGAACCAGTACTTTTTTGGTTTAAAAGAAATGCTTAGGCTCTTTTAAAGACTATTAAAATTACATTAAAAACTCCTCCCACAGTAATTGTATAAATATCCTTAAGCGTGCCATTTCAGCTATGAAGTTTTCACATTTTAACTGAGATTTTATCACAAGTTCTAAACATAAATCCTTCATTTTATATTTCATTACCTAAACCAATCTACACATAAAAAAAAGAAGATACCACAAAGAGCTGGAAAAGCCAGTATCTAATATAAAGTCAGACAATTCAGTGAAAAAGTGTACGTGCTTGTGGTCTACAGCCTTGGTTGCATGCACATAAAAGCGATGCTCCAGCACTTACTCATTTGCTTAATGCAGAAAACAAGAATAAATGTTTACTTATCACACCAAGTTAAAAACAAAAAACCTAAATGCTTCCAGAAAAATAGCAATTTTCAACCAAATCCTTACCTGCAGCTTGAGGAAACAGCAACATCTGAACTGGTTTGGGACTTCTGCACCTGTAAACCAGGGAAACAAACAGAAGCCTCTGTTACCCTGCTTTACTACGAGGCCTTAACTTAAAGAAAGGGTATCACCACGGATGACAATTCTGTCCTTTAAACCCAAAAGGAGAGGAGGAGGGCGCGGTGCCCGTGAAAGGCATATTGTCTTTAAATTGAAGGCTCAACTGTTGTTTCCCCAGCAGGTCTCTCTCCCTCCTCCCCGCGCCGGGGGATGGCGGCCAAGTGACGGGATAGTGATTCATCAGGGGCCCGTGACAGCTGCAGAGGGGCTCACTCCTCCCACGGCACGGCACAGAACGGCACGCCACGGCTGTGCACCCTGGCAAAGGTAACCCCACCGCGCCACCCAGCCAAGGGCAGCGGGAGCCCCCCACAATCCTCCACCCATCTCGCCTCTTGTTATCGCTGGCCGAATTATCTCTCCCTCCCATCCCCTCAACTCTTGACAGCTTCTTGCCCTCATCACGTTGGCTTTCCTCTTCCTCTGCTCTTCACCATCCTTCCTCCATGCCTGGGCAGTGGGGAAACCACAGGTCACCTCACCCCAAAGGCAAGGGGTGAAGCAAACCAGAGAGGCTGAGACTATTTTTTTTTTTTTTTGGAGGGGGGCGGGGAGGACAACAAGGGGCAGGTCTCACTGTGGTAAAGATCTTCAATATATGACCAACATGATTACATAGCCAACTCCAAAACAAGCCCATCTCCAGCCAGGGCGAATTAAAATAAAGACTCCACACAATATTGCACAAGGTCTTACCCATAAAAATTCCAGTCACTAATGAGATTTCTGATAAAAACGACTTAAAAGAACACTTCTGGCTAAATAAATAGGAAGAAGCTGTAGCATTTACCTCTGAGGTCACTCATCAAGAAAAATAACTTGGTTCCACTTGGAAGCCCAGCAATAATTTTCCAGCTTAATAAAATGATTCCTTTTGTAACTCAGGTGAGTAAGATATTTTCATATCCTATTGGAAATACACCATTGCTTTGCTAAGAGACTGTTCTCTGTAGCCAGTAACGATTGTCTGCAGGTGATAGAATTCAGGTGAAGATACGCTGCTAGACACTGTTAGCTTAAAAGCACACAAAAGCTTCTCCAGGCAAGGTATATATCCTCTTAATGTCTGCATTGAGACTCCTTCACGTGCATTTCCATTCAGCCTGAACCGACATCTCTCAAATGATCACAGAGCGAAGACAAGAGAGATGAGGCATTTTAAGTACCATAAAAATCATCCAAGCAAATCCCGCTTATGTGTCTGCAGGGTTTTTATTTTGTTATTTTTAATCACAGACAGAATTACTACTAGCAAGAGTAAACAACTTCTAAGGGCAGCCAGGCAAAGCAGGCAAATGATGTCAAGAAGCATGCAATAATGCACAGTGAAAAACATCAATCTTTTTACAACTGGGTACTTAAAGTACTGTATAACGTGCTTTCCGATACATCGTCGCATGCCAAATGAAAGTAGACAAGCAGATACATTCAAAACTGTGCATTTTGGTTTGAATTTTTTTTTTCAGTTCTTTACCCCAGAAACTGCAGCAGAGTGCCTTAGGATATGTTTCTGCTGTTACTTCTAAACACCTGGAAAAAATTATAGGTGAGAACCAAGTTTGCTTACAGAGCTATCTTCACTCCATCTTGCACAGGATCCTCTAAAACATATCTTTTATAATAGAAAATACTTCCTTTTTTCAAATAGATGCTTTAATTAACAGATATTTTCCAAAGTGCCCTACAATATTATTCATACTTCACTAAACTATAAAATACAATGAATCCTCACAATTTTATTTACACAAATTAAAAAAATAATAACTTTGCTATGCTTACAAATATATACATATATGTGTATGTGTGTGTACAGTGAGAAGCATTCATTTAAGGATTCATGGGAGACGGCAACAAAAAAAAATCCATCTCATTCATAGTGAATTAAATATATACCTTATATGTCCTCTAACACTCTATGATTTGTGAAAGTTCATATCCACAACCTTCATTTTCATTAGACATACTTTAGATATACTCCTTTGTGTCTCAAGGATTATTTAAACCATGTGTTGCACGTTACCATATTTAAAAATGACTCTTTAATCAAAATAACTTTAAAACAACTAATCCTCACTTAGGCTGGTCAGCTGAATCCACAGAGTGGTCCAGGAAAAATAAATCTACTCTCAAGAATGCGAATGCAGACAACAATTAGACACAGATGTGAGTGAAATTAGTTACAGTTTACAAAATGCTACACTTCACATGCTTTCAGTTTTTTATGTGCAGTACAAAATTACAACGTAGTAAGGAACCACACTTATGACGACCAGTCCGTAGAATAAAAACATTTCTGGGTGGTGTGTGCTTACTCTCATACATTCTCTCATTTTTCCAACAGATTTCTGGATAACTGAAGTTCTGCAACATAACTCACATATCAAACAAAAAGTGGGAAAAAAAAATGCAACAGCCTTACCCAGCCAGCCAAAGGGGCACACTAAAAAAAAAATCCAAAAAGAGAAAAAAGAAGCTGTCACTCTTCACACACCGCACTCCACTTAAACTAAAAACACCTTATGTGCTAACTGACATACACATTGTCCTTAATGCCTCAAAAATATTACTGTGTGTAATTTGATTGTTGTAAGTAGCTTTCACATCTTTCTCTTCAACACGGATTGCAGATCTAGGCACTACATAGTACATGGCGAGAAAAAAGGGACAATGATACCAAAGCTATTTAAAATTCATCCATTTAAGAATCTTAAATCAGTAACATCAAATTCTGATTAGTTAATGAGGTCTTTTAAGTTTGCCTTTTTTTCTAATTAAATTTATAATTCTTCACAGATGTAGGTTTTGTTGATGTTCAATTTGTCTCTCTCATTTTGTTAAACCTCACATAGTACTCCACCAATCCATTGAATAGCCACATTAAATCTGTTAATACCATGCTCTTCAACCCCAGAAATTATTTCCAGAAGGCAAACTTGCTTTGAGAGATCATCAAACAAGACTTAAGGTACACATTTTATCACATTTTCCCTACCACAGAGCTCAGGATGCGGAGGAAAATTCATGACTTTTGCACTGTTTATTATACTTTGCTAAATTACAAATCAAAAGCATCTGACAGAAGATCATGTATGAAGCCAAAAAGTTAATAATGTTCTGTGAAAAGTAAACTGTAAATGGGAAGGGATTCTAAATTTCAGCAGCACATAGCAAATAAAATGTAGGTACTTGTCTAAATTACAGGTTTTCCACAGTATTTTTGCTTGCTAGGAGCAATTTTTTTTTTAAATGGCTCTAATTTAAAACATTTTTCCAGATGAAAAAAAATTTTCTAAGTGCAAGTAAGAAGTCAACCCAGAAAACTATAGTCAGTACATGCACTTTTCCTTAAAACACAGTTCTACTTTAAAAAAGCAAATTTCAAAGGCAATGGCAGTTTTCAAATCAGAGTGTTCCTTCTGTCATTTTTAGC